AAATCTCTAGGGTCTTTTTTTTTTTTTTTTTTTTTGTTGAGATAAGGTCTTGCTCTAGCTAGAGTTCAGTAGTACGAACACAGCTCACTGCAGACTTGAGCTCCGGACTCATGTGATCCTTCCCACTTCAGCCTCCCCAGTAGCTGGGACTGGGACTACAGGGACTATGCTACACCCGACTAATTTTTTTAGTAGAGATAAGATTTCACTGTCGCCCAAGTTGGTCTTGAACTCCTGGACTCAATGATCCACCCACCTTGGCCTCCCAAAGTGCTGAGATTACAGGTGTGAGCCATCAAGCCCAGCCATAAATGGTACATTTTTAAAAGCACTTCACGTATATGTATTATTCAACAACAGTTACTTTTTTTTTTTTTTTTTTGAGACCTAGTCTCATTCTGTCACCCAGGCTGGAGTGTAGTGGCACAATCACAGCTCACTGCAGCCTTAACTTCTGAGGTTTTGGCGATCCTCCAGCCTCTGCATCCCGAGTAGCTAGGACCAAAGGTGAATTCCACCACATCTGGCTATTTTTGTACGTTTTAGTAGAGATGGGAGTTTCGCCTGGTTGCCCAAGCTGATCTATGACTCCTGAGCTCAAGGGATCCACCCACCTCGGCATCCCAAAATGCTGTGATTATAGGTATAAGCCACCCCACCCAGCAAAGAACAGTTAATTTTCTGTTCTTTCCACACACTCAAAGAAATGTTCCATTCTTTGATGGATATATCTGTTACTTAAAACAAACAAAAATCCACCCAAGTTTTTCAATATTCTATACAATTCCACAGGAAATTTTTAAAATCCATTCAAATGTAACTAAATCAGTCCTGTCAAATAACTCTTTCGTAATAAAGATGAAGACACAGAGACAACAAAGAGGACAGAGGACAGAGAGAAGAAATTCCTTCCTCAATCCCATACAGACAGACAACAGACACAAGAAAGAACCACATGGACAGAGAAATAAAGAGAGAAATGAAGAACCGCAAGGCTAATGAGGAAAGACTGACATATGTGCTAGGTTGGGAGTGGTTCAAGAAGTAAGTACTAAGGCAGGATGGAGGCACTCTGCCCAGAAGGTAGAGGTAGGCATAGCAAATCTGGCTTTGGTAATAAATTCTAGTCTGTAACAAATTTCTTATGAGGAATTTCTTTACATGTAGTTTAAATTCTTTGCCCTGTAGTTGGACCTATTTCCTCTTACCTGATTTTTCAATAGAAATTAAGTTTCCATCTTCTCTAATATTTCATGCAACACTTAACTCTTGATTATTTAAAAGAAAGAATATATTATTCTAAAGTAAGAAAGATCCCTTACACTTGGCTTTGGGATACAACTAATCAGATAAATACAAACATACACATTGGTCAACAAGTCTACCCTCCTAAACTGTCCTCCTTCCTTGCTCTCTCCTGGCAGTCTAAAATGTAAAAGAATGAAGACTCTAAAACAGGCAACAGAAAGCAATCACCTAGTTACTTTATCAGAAAATCCTGCCTTCAAATGCCTAGAGCTCTGGGTAGCCATGTGGAAAGATTTTTTGGTTACAAAGATTTTTATAACCTAAGGAATCTCCATCTAGATTGGCTTTATTGATTGACTGACTGATTGAGACAGAGTCCTGCTCTGTTTCCAGGCTGGAGTGCAGTGGCACAATCTAGGCTTACTGCAACCTCCACCTTCAGGTTCAAGTGATTCTCCTGCCTCAGCTTCCCAAGTAGCTGGAGTTACAGGCATGTGCCACCATGCCTGGCTAATTTTTTTTGTATTTTTAATAGAGACGGGGTTTCACCATATTGGTCAGGCTGGTCTCAAACTCCTGACCTCAGATGAACTGCCCACTTTGGCCTCCCAAAGTGCTGAAATTACAGGCGTGAGCTGCTGCACCTGGCCAGCATCCTTTATTTTTATGTATTACTTTCATTTGCCCCATATGAAAACAGATAGCTTTTAGAGACTTATACCCAGTATTGAGATTCTCCATTTCATTGCATAAATAATTCTGACTCTTTTAACCTGTCCTCAGAAATTTCAATTCCAACCAATTTCATGACTTTTTTCTGAAACTTTTAAGACTTCTTTTCACCTAAACTGTAGGGTCAAATATGATACTCGGACGGGGAACTTAATATTACTAAGTATCAGGAAATTATATCAGTTTCCAGTATATCTACCTGTGGAATCAAAATTGCAGTGGCTCATGCCTGTAACCCCAGCACTTTGGGAGGCCAAGGTGGGAGGATCACTTGAGGCCAGGAGGTCAAGACCAGCCTGGGCAATGTAGTGAGATCCCATCTCTATAAAAAATAAAAATTAAAAAACAATTTTTTTAACCTAGATGAATGGAAAAACAAGATGTGGTATATTTGTACAGTGGAATATTAATTCATCCATAAAAAGGAATTAAGTACTGATTCACACTACAATATGGATAAATCCTGAAAACATAACAGTAAATGAAAAGAGGCCAAGTCACAAAAGAGCCTATGTTATGTAATTTCATTAATATGAAATGTCTAGAATAAGCAAATCCAAAAAGACAGAAAGTATATTCATGGTTGTCAGGGGCCAGGTGGAAGAGAGAATAGAGAGTGACCATTAATGGGTACAACATATTTTGGAATTATATAGTAGTGAAAACAAACCTTGGTTTTGGTTTGTTTTTTAAGCATTATAGCCTTGGTATCCTGGGCTCAAAAAATCCTCCTGCTTCAGTATCCCCAGTAGCTGGGACTACAGAAGCGTGCCACCATGCCCAGATGACTCTTTTTTTTTTTTTTTAGAAGACAGGGTCTCACTATGTTGCCCAAGCTGGTCTCAAACTCCTGAGCTCAGGAGATACTCTTGCCTTGGCCTCCAAAAGCGCTGGTATTACAGGCGTGAACTACCATGCCTGCCTGCACAACCTTGTGAGTATACTTAAAATTAATGAATTCTATAGTTTAACAGATGAAATTTTATGGTATGTGAATTATTTCTTAATAAAGCTGTTTTTTTTAAATGAAATAAAAAATTAGTGGTTAACATCCACAAATTAATTTTATGGACTACAGGGTCAGATGATCTCTCTGGTAGCTTCTGGTTCTCACAAATATTAAATTTCATTCAAACCCGTAGTCCGCCATTTACTCAAACACCTTTTTTCATTTGGTTCTCAAGAAAATCATGAAACGTGTGTTCCTATGCAACAATTTCGCATGTTCTTCACATGTACCCCAAAACCTAAAATGCAATAAAATAAATAAATGGGAAAAAAAAATTTAAAGATTAAAAAAATAATAATAATAATTTAAAAAAAAAAAAAAAAGAAAATCATGAAACCAAGGCTCAGAAAAATTAAGTAACATGTCCAAGGTCAATGACAATTCAGTGACATTAAAAAGTACTGAAATTCAGTTCTGACTCTAACATCCCTGCACTTTCCAACATGCAACTACATCATACATTTCTGAATGTGCCATAAGACAATGAAGCAAATCTTTGCAGGAGGAACTCAGTTTTAAAACCTACTATGTACTACTTAATAGGTGGAATGCAATTTTAATGCATTGTGTCAAAGACTGAATGACGTAGCAGTTATTTTTCCATAGAATTATGTGTACTTAATAAACAAAATTTACATGACTATACATATACTCTAATGAATTTTTAAATCTTTAGCTCTAATTTTAGCAACTTGACTAAATCACAGAATTCTCAAATAATCCTAACACTTCATACATTAAATCTAGTGACAACAGATTTAATTATTTCACTTCCAGGAGGGTAAAATAATTCCCTAAAGGAATGGCTAATAACATTTATTTGGAAATATCTATAATAAACAAAAATTTGATAGCAAAAATAATTAACTTCTCAGAGGCAGGGCCAAACTAAAACTCAACATTTTCTGGCACCAGGATTTTGTATGCGGGCTTTAAATAAATTTTACCTTAAAGCCAACCTTTAAAAAAGTTTATCACAATCACACAAAATTCCAATATGCCCCATGGTCAATCAAAAGTCAGTTAAATGTCAGAAAGAAATGTGAGAGAGCTATTTTACTTTAAAATGTCAATAATCTTTTGACTTAATAGTTTGAATATCCAGAGACATCTGGCAAAAAATATGCAGGCATTAATTAAGACTAAAACATGCTATTAATTCCTTGAAAATATTTTGTTCTTTATCTTTATTTTCCCAGTTTTCTTCCCTGTGGTTTTTTTTTTTTTTTTCTTTTTCACACTAATAGTATCTCATAGCGGATTAGAAAGCCCGTAATTACAAATTTCAAGTCTTTTCATTAACCACTAAACAGCTCACCATGGATACACATGGGTGTGTTTGTGTGCCCTTTTCTGACACTGCCTCAAAGATTTAACAATTTTATAGTCACATATATGATAGATGGCAGTCTTGCTTAGTTTATTTCCTTTATGTATTCTATCTACTGTATTTCCTTGTCCACAACCCTGGCCCAAAATTACTAATCTGAGAACACAAAAACAGTGAAATCCATAATACAGAAATATCTGAAAATTACACTACTCTAGCTCAATCCACTCTAACCTGCATTCTTTTCTTTTCTGAGGATTTCTCTCCCAAATTAGTTTGTTCTGATTATGAAAAAGAACAAAGAGAATAATATTTGCAGCAAAGCAAGCTTTAAAAACTAACGCCAATTTTAAAGAAAGCCTCCCTAACATCAAAGTTTTTTTTTTCTTTCCAGGCTTGCCTACATGCAGAATATCAAAGTTTTTACCACTTGTAATACTCATATTAATCATTCATTTGAAATCTAGTTTCCATATCACTATTTTTTATCTTTCAAAAAAATTCTGCTTTTAAACAAGAAAATTAAGTTCATCCTTTCTGAGTCTTTTCTATCATTTCCATCCCTGTAATTTTATTATCATACATTGCCAAATTTACAAATACTTTTCATTAAAAGTCACCCAGACCATTAATCTTGCCAATCATATTTTCAATTCTTAAAAGAATATTTTGTCTACTCACGGATAAAAGATGATGTATTGTTTAGAAACTGAAGGCTTCCTCTCAAAGAAATAAATCAGTTGCCCAATCTTCCCTCATTTAAAACAAAGTTGCTGTTTCTGGATGTGAAAAAGGCTGAGCAGTTGTCTCCTGTCATATGGGTATTAACCAAATACTAGCAAGGAGACACAATGTTCAGGGAGTACTTCTCTTACAGTTTGATGTGTTAGCAGATTATGAACAAGAAAAAAAAGTTTGGTAAAAGCTTTTACGCTTCATTTTTAACAACAACTTAAAAACCTGAGGCTATGACTGACAATAACAAACAATACTTTATGCTAATTTCTCATAATTCTTACATAACAGATATTTGTGTTGAATATATTAACATAAAATCTATCATTTATTTCTCAAAACATATTCTCCTGTCCAAGAAATGAATTACAAATACCTGGTATGACATTTCAAATTACTTTAAAATAAAATATATAAAGCTGCCTTGAATTCAAGAACCACGCAAAGGTATTTTTTAAAACCACAGTGGATTACATATTGGAATAGAGGTATCCTTTAATCTGAATTTGTAGAAAAGTCAGCAATACAAACAGAAAAAGGAAAAAGCCAAAAAAAAAATAATAATAAGAGAAATGATATCCAATTTTCTGTGCTTAGGCAAAACAAAACCATAAACCCGTAACTTTTCCTGTACTAAATGAATCTGGCTGAAGCTATGTTTGTTTCTTTACTGTGATTACATGAATATTACCTATCAGATGGATACTTAATGCCTGATTCTAAGTAAACCAAATGGACATGGACAATACATTAATTTTAAGGAAATGTAAACTGAAAAACAGAAGAATCAATCCAGGTTTGCACTGGATGTGACAAACCTTCTCCAATGGAATATATTCAGAATATTTTAATAAATAATAATAGAGTGGTGAGAAATGAAGGCCAGTAAGAAGTAATCAGGAATGAAGTATTTTTACTCTAACAAAACCCTCAGGAAAAAAGAACATAAAATTCCTTCACATAAATGTATTAGAAAAATATGTAATCTTTTAGCTTTCACTGTAACTATAATATCTGAAAGCATTTAGCAGACTTTACTATGACCAAACACATATCTATGATTTCTTAAAACACAGAGAAGCATGTACATATGAAATGTGGACCCTGAATAAAAATTTATAACAAAGAAAAGCAGATGAGGTGATGTAGTAGACACTGCTCCAAACTTGGAATAAAGAGACTTACTGAGGAACAAATCTGGCATATACACGGTACCTTTGGGCAAATTAGAAAAAGGTGCTCTATTTTGGGTAGCCACAGCTCTGGCCTGGTGATTAAAGTGCTGGCTTGGTATTGGTTTCCACGCAAATCTTTCACTTTGTGCAGTACATCAACTTCAGATCTGGCAAATTCAAACTTGGCTCTACCACTGGTGTCTTTAAAAAGTTGTTTAACTAAGGTTAAATTTTTTTATCTCCAATTAGAGAGTACTATTAACAAGATTATTTTATTACATGAAACAATGTTTGCTAAAACACTTAGTACAGACTCAACAGACCCTTAAATGAATGGCAAAATGACACTGACAATAAAAACTCTCTCATTCTACAAAAAAGTAAAAATAACTCTTTTTTTCACACCTAAAAAATAGCAAACCACCAAAAAATAAAATGCCCTCCTAACACTAGTTCAGTGAGCCCTTAGGTGTATGTGCACATGCAAGAAGGGTGGGCAGTAAATTCAATGATTAAATATTCTAAGTTTGACACCAACCTCCCTTGTAGATTCACAATGCCTAGTAACATTCTAACAGCTATGAGAAGTCCTGTAATCAGAAGCTATTTAGTTTATTTAGCCCAGAGTTCTCAAAATGCATTTGGTCACAGAATTCTTTTGGTTTGGTTGTAACTATTTATATCTCATAGGACTTTTTTTTTTTTTTTCCACAGAACAGAATTTGGGGATATATAGAAAATACCATTTTTATGTTTATGATGCTATATGAATAACAGTTCTTTTTTATCGACAATCATTAATTTTAAAAATCAAAGAATTTAAACTATAGTTATTAATTTCATTACAATTTTACAAACTTTAAGGAAATCAGAAATTCAAAATCTGAAAATTGTTTTTTAGTATTTTGCAGAAAGTTTGTGAGTTTTATATGAAAGGTAAATTTCAAAGCTTTAAATATTAAGGCCACATGTAGAACTCTTTAATATCTAAAAAACATGTTACAGTGACTGAACATTTAAGTCACATGCTTTTAGCTCTATGTTGCTAACAATAAACAATAGTTACATGGCGTTTCCAAGAAAACAAAAGATCTTGGTCTGAAATTCAAACTGACATTACTCATATTCTCTTAAACCCGCTTCCTTCCCATATACATTATAAGGCACAGATAAATTAAAGCAAAACGTTTTCTATTATCCCTCTGTTTTTACTTACCTAGTATTTTCACAGCATAATGAGGACTTTCTAAGACAATTCCTTCCTCTGTATCAAACATAGGGTTATCTATTCCGGTCTTTGGAGGAATTTGGGCTAGCTTCTTAAGTCTCATGGAAGAATTAAGGTCAAGTTCTTGCTTTTTCCCTTCTTCCTCTCTCCTACGCCTCATGTCTTCCTGTTGTTGCCGAATACGCTCCAACTGTGCACTTCGACGTATTGGCATCATCCTGGTGCCCAAATCTCCGGGGCAGTCAACAGCCATCTCTCGGTGCTTCTGATGTTCCTCTGGTGATGCAAGATCAACATTTTTTACTTCGCTGTCTGACTCCTCTGTAACATGCCCATTCATATGGGATGTTGTCATGGTTATCTATAAAAACCTGTACCACTTTTTACAAATCAATTTTTCCTAAAGGCCAATTCTCTTGATTCTGTAGTATAAAATCCATGTTACTCGGAAAAAAAAAAAAAAAAAAAAACTTCTCACATCACATAATAATGCTATGAAAAAGTATCCATGAAGGAAATCTAAGGGGAAAGATGGGGGAAAAAAAAAGTATAAGAATTACAATACAAAAGCAGGTTTTTACATAGCCTACTTCTAATCTCCATACAACATAGAAAATAATAAGTATATCACATTATTTTGCTATGTAGATTAAGTACTTTCATTTTTACAGATAATGGTGAGGAAATCAAGATCCCCCTCTCCCCCAAAAAGTCCCCTTCCAATAACGTGAAACATACTATTCAATTTTAAAGCTAAGAAAAATGATATATAGTACTGGAAAGTTTAGCAAAGTGGGAAGATAAAAAGTCTGCAGTATTAGTTTCGTAGGGAACAGGTTGCTTGCTTAAAACATAAAAAGGTGCTTTACTCATCTTTTAGTAGTTGTCTCAACACAGTACCTTATGCTCAACAGTAAACATGGGCTTGAAATAACTTACTAGTTAACCACTAAAGAAATTGATGAATGATCAACTGATCTGGCATATAGCAGCCATGTTTGTACCTCATTTGAAATACAAGCAGTATTCTGGAGGATAATTCATTCATGTTTAGGAGTTTTTGAGATGAAGAACATGCCCAAACTTCAATTAGCAGCTGAGGCAGCTACAAGACAAAACTACATTGAGACAAGGATTACACAGGTTATCAGTCTTTATAACTGGTCCCATTTAAGAAAAAAAAGGATTGGGCTGGGTGCGGTGGCTCATACCTGTAATCCCAGCACTTTGGGAGGCCAAGGCAGGTGGATCACCTGAAGTCAGGAGTTCGAGACCAGCCTGGCAACATGGCGAAACCCTGTCTCTACTAAAAAAATACAAAAATTGGCCAGTTGTGGTGGCAGGCACCTGTAATCCCAGCTACTCAGGAGGCTGAGGCAGGAAAATGGCTTGAACTTGGGAGGTGGAGGCGGAGGCTGCAGTGAGCTGAGATCGCACCACTACACTCCAGCCTGAGTGACAGAGCGAGATTCCATCTTAAAAAAAAAAAAAAGAATTGGGGTTATCTCTACAAGGATTCAGTTACAGAAAATGGTAGTATCTGTTACCACTCAAAAACTTTTGAAAGTCATACTGTACAGCAAAAAGATCACAATAAACAGGAAGATAACTGAATTTTTAATCCTCTAGTTTTATGATTTAAGACCATTTTCTCTCTTTGACCAAGATTCACTCGGAAACTTTATTCACAGGATTGACTGTTCTGAGTTTCACAAGAGATAATGTATACTTACATTAATTACCAGTATTAACTTGATTCTCGTATTTTAAAAATCTTTCAACATATTTTAGAAAATAAAAATATTTTACCAGATAACTCTGGCTTTTCATCAAGCTATTTCTCAGGCGTAAATAGGCAGATTGTTTACATATGCGTAAACCCACACTTTAAATCTAATTAGCTTTTTTTTTTTCTCTTGCTCAAGAGCAATAATATTTACAATAATAAGCCTACTACCTCCTTGAGTTGGGCATCACTTTAGTAAGCAGGCGGTTAGAGCACAATGCCAACTACAAAAGCCAGGTTTTCAGACAATATTCTTAATATCAGCCAATCTTCTCTCAAATATCTTGGGTCATAGTGCAAATAGGGACAGAAGACAAAATGCTTAGTACAAACCCAACTAGGCTATCAGGAAAACCACTAATCCAACAATCAGCAAAATTGATGTCAGTTACATGAGCCATTATTAAAACTATATTTGCACAAAAATTTTGGTAGAGTTTTCTGTCTTTCATCCAACTTTTGGCTTCTTTCTTTCTAAATGTGATCTACACACATAAGCACCTTATTTACCATTAAAGTGCCTTTCATTAACATGACAGCTATTTGATTTATGTTAGACAATTCTTATGTTAGGCACTGACTATATGCAAATGCAAATTCAGCTTTTTAAATGTTTTTCCTTACAAGTAAGCAGAAAATTATGTAGGAGTTACTGCTGTGCTATGCTTAATTTTAAAAACTGAGGAGTGTACATATTTTCAGAAAATTAAAACCCTCAACCCTCTCTATAACAATTACTGGATATTAAAAATCAAATTTAATAATAAATGATGAATTTTAAACTGATATATATATAAATTATGATCTGAAACATAAAATTCGGCTTAAAAGGTCTACATCTGTGTCCATATTCATTATACTATAGGGAAAATTAGAGGTCATGCAAGATAGACCAGGCCAGGTCAAAATTCTCATGCTTGGACTATTTATTATCACACTTGTATATCTGGATACAATCTTTGCTCTCAAAAAATTTCTGCAACCTGGTAGTAATCTGCTTTAAATTTCATTTTGGTTATTTCCCCAGGAATGTTCAGTCTACTGGGAGAGAAAGCAAAGAAAATAAATGATTATTTCCCCAGTCTCCTTACCAGATTCTAAATTTGTTAGAGTTAGGGATCATGCCTTACTTTCACAGCTCCAGTGCTTAGCCTAATACATATCATAAGAAATGCCCAATAACTATCTGTTCAACTCAACTTGGAATGTCACAGATAATGAACTATAAAACTTAGTCTGTGGTAAAAGGTGATAGGAAATACTCAAAACATAAGGATAGATTTCTTTGAGCTGTATATCAAAGGGCAACTAAAAATTAGCCAGCTAGCAGAAAGGTCTACTCCAGGCAGACAGGCTCACATGACCTCTAGGAAGGAAGAGTATGACAGAATGGCACTTTCAGGAAACAGAATAGAATACAATAAACTGGATGGGACAATGGGAATATGCTGTACATCAGTAACGATAAAACTGGAAAGGCAAGCAGGAGGCCATCCTGAGAAGAGTTTTAGATCTTTACCCTGAAAATAGTTAAGAATAATTAAAAGATTTTAAACAGGGGATGACGTAATCACATTCATTTTTATAGAAATATCACTACTACTGAAGGATAGAGGGCTGACTGAAGGGTGGCAATGAGACCAGACTCAAAGCACCTATCAGAAATAGGGTGCTCAAGTAGTACAGTGAGAATGAGTAAGTTACATTCAAGAAATACATAGGTTATAGACCAGGCACAGTAGCTCACACCTGTAATACCAGCATTTTGGGAGGTTGAAGCAGTGGATCACTTGAGACCAGGAGTTTGAGATTAGCCTGGGCAATGTGGTGAAACCCCATCTCTAGGAAAAATGCTAAAACATAAAAAAATTATCCAGGTATGGTGGCTTGTTCCTGTAGTCCCAGCTACTCGGGAGGCTGAGGCATGAGAATCACTTGAACCCGGGAGGCAGGGGTTGTAGTGAGCCAAGATCATGCCACTGCACTCCAGCCTGAGAGGGAGGAAGGAAGGGAGGAAGGAAGGGAGGAAGGGAGGAAGGAAGGAAGGAAGGAAGGGAGGGAGGGAGGGAGGAAGAAAGGGAGGGGGGAGCGAGGGAAACGAAAGAAAAGAGAGACAGAGAGAAAGAAAGAAGGGTTATAGAATCAGTAGAACTTAGTGTTTATTTCATATAGGAGAGCAAAAAGTGAGTAAGTGAAAGGTAAAGGAGGAAGAAGTAGTAGGAGTAGGATTAGTAGTAGTAGTATAGTGACAACTACAATAACTATAGCTAACATTTACTAAGCACTTCTTTATGTGCCAGCCAATACTGCAAGCACTCCACACAGTATTCACTCATTTATTCCTCATTACAACTCTAGAAGTAGATCCAAATATGCCCATTTTGTAGATAAGAAACAAGGTTTGAAGTGGACTTTCAAGACAAGATAAAGAAATAAGAAAGGAGCCATATGAACCAAAGGTGGGAAGATGAAAGGTGTGAGGGGAAAGTACAAATAAGGCTAGTTGAACTAAAATAGGGTAGTGGAAGATATAACTAGAAAGTTTGATTGGGTCCATCTTATGAAAAGTCTTAAATATAAATCCTTAATTCTGTGGAAAAAGAGAGTCATCAAAGATTTAAAAAAGAGGAGTGGCCGGGCACAGTAGTTCATGCCTATAATCCCAGCACTTTGGGAGGCTGAGGCAGGTGGATCACCTGAGGTCAGGAGTTCAAGATCAGCCTGACCAACATGGAGAAACCCTTTCTCTATTAAAAATACAAAATTAGCCGGTCGTGGTGGCATATGCCTGTAATCCCAGCTACTCAGGAGGTTGAAGCAGGACAATCGCTTGAACCCAGGAGGCAGAGGATGTGGTGAGCTGAGATCTCATCATTGCACTCCAGCCTGGGCAACAAGAGCGAAGCTCCATCTCAAAACAAAAATAAATAAATTAAATTAAATAGAGGAATGATATGTACATAAATTTAATTATTTATTTTTTTAAATTAAAAAAATAGTAACATGGAACGCTTCACGAATTTGCATGTCATCCTTGCGCAGGGGCCATGCTAATCTCTGTATCGTTCCAATTTTAGTATATGTGCTGCCAAAGTGAGCACATAAATTTAATTATTTACCCCTGGCTAGATACTACGGTTATTGAGACAAGATCCCTGACCACTATTTTATCAGAATTTCCCGTAAGAATCTAGAAATTAACAGGGCCAAAATTAAACTCTTATTTCCCTTTAATCTCCTCCTATTCTCTTTAATCCTCTCCCCGTTTTCAGTTCTAACCAATGTTACTATAGCCATCCAGTCACTCAAGACAACATATTTAAGAGAACAGCCTCCAGAATCAGACTGCCTAGGATCTAATCTTTGCCTACTCTCCTTTTAAGTCTTAGCTCAAATACATTTTCCTCTGGAATCCTACAATCCCTGTCACATTTTTAATCAAGCTGGACTATAGCTATTTATATCTCTGCCTTTCTATCTCATCAGACTAGAAGCTCCTTGAAGTTAAGAACCAGGTTGACCCATCTCTGGATCCGTAGTATTGCCCACAGGCAGTGTGGGTCCAGAACCATCACTCTTAAGTACTATCCTTGGCTTACTAGGTAGAAGACAATGTCACACTAACTATGATGGAGAATCAGATACAGGGAAATTAAAGGAAAATGGGTTTAGACACATTAATTTCAAGATGACTGTAGATCACACAGGTAAATTATCTAATTGGCAGGAATCTGTCTTGTTCACCTGTATAGCCATGATATCTGGTAAGTGATATGCTTAATTAAGTATATGAGCAAACCACTCCTCTGTTCAGAACTTTTGATGGCTTTCACACTAGAGCATAAAGTCCAAACTCACAAGATAAATCTAAGTTTTCTAGCTATACCTTTTACTACTCGCCTGCATGAGCCTTCTAATTTACCTTCCTCATTTGTGTCTATACCATATCTTTTTTCTTTCTGGCCAAATGACTTGCTAACTACTTTTCCATTGATTTCTACCTTCAAGACCTCCCTCAAGTCCCTAATTCTTCAAATCTTTCCAGACTACTTTGTTAAATAATTACTTCATCATTTAGTACTCCAAGAAGACTCTATAATGCTCACAAGTTAATTTAATGAGGGCCATGAAAGATCCTAAAGTTCTTCCAGAATTAAAGAAACATTATGCTGTATCCTATGGTTTTAGCATTAAGATCATTATAATTTTTAAACAAGCACTCCACAAATATGCTAGCTCATACATGTACTCTATACATATCATAAAAGTAAAAGAGTCCTCCGAGTCCAAAGCAACTGCACTCTCCCTCTCTAAAAAAAAATAAAAAAGTCCTTTGACAATTCAAAAGCTGGTAATGAAGACAGCAGAGTTACCAGATACAGGCTCTAATTCTTTTCTTCTCAACTCTCCAATTATACGTTTGGGGGAAAAAAAAAAAAGCTTCAAAGGATTACATTTCAAATCCTCATCAGAATCCCTGTTCCCATCCCTGCTAGAAAACAAATACAAAAATCTTTACATAGTACACGAAGTAAGAAAAATTTTCAGACTAGCATGCCAAAGCTGTTTCAATGCTAACCTCAAACTGGGGAGAAAGGGTTTTAGCTGTGGGAGAAAGGGGCAAAAGGAAGCTAAATAAGCTTCATAACAAGTGCAAATGACTGAGACTGTAGGGACTGAGATGGCCTAAGGGGTACAGGTTCACTGAAAATGGTACCAACAAATAGAACCATCTGTGTAAGTGCTGAGAATCAAGATAGGTCAGCAGAAATCCAATTTCCTATATTATCAGCATCTTAATTTTTAGGCAGAGGAAAATGGAAGAGATATACTTCATATGCATAAACATGTTCAGCCTACACTAGTGTCCAGAACTCTAGAATTTTTTGAATTCATCCTTCTCCTCTTTCTCCAGTCAGTAATGCCCTTTGACCAGCAGCTGGGAAGTCTCATTTTAAGTGATCAGCATTCCTCTGACATTCTAAGAGGTTAAACTATGTTTCCATAGAAACGGCTTTGTCAGCTAACACAAGATTCAAGCCAAGAAAAGTGAAAAGAACTTACATTATGCAAACTGGAAAACCCTTGTCTACTGTCCTTTTAGTTTCTCTTCTCTGGTTTTTCACAAAACTCAGGCCAAGTTTCTTATTCTATAAAAAAGAAAAATGAGACAATTGATCAAATGTAAATGTCTGCAGTGTTTTTAAGGGGGTAAAGGAGGAAGACCAATTCAATATGATAACCAATTATGTCTACAGATAACTAGGATTTCTTAGTAAGAAATCATAAAAATGCACCACGACCCCTGCGTCTAATAGATATCAATTTGGTAGATCACAAGGTCAGGAGATGGAGGCCATCCTGGCTAACATCGTAAAACCCCATCTCTACTAAAAATATAAAAATTAGCTGAGTGTGGTACGGCACACCTGTAATCCCAGCTACTCAGGAGGCTGAGACAGGAGAATCACTTAAACATGGGAGGCGGAGATTGCAGTGAGCCAAAATTACGACACTGCAATCCAGCCTGGGACACAGGGAGAGACTCTGTCAAAAAAAAGACAAACAAAAAAAAACAACTGTTGTTGCATATTAGTGAGGTTAGGAATGTCAAATGGAAATGTTCCAATAACACAATGTAAACAGTATGGTAATTCCTCAAAGGGCTAAACACAGAGTTATCATATCAGCAATTCTACTCCTAGGCATACACCAAGAAAAATAAAAACATACATCTACAAACACACACACACAAAGCTTGTACAAAAATATTCATAGCAGCAGCATTCATAAAAAAGTAGAAAAAAATCCAAATGTTCAACTGATGAATTTATTAAAAGCTGTATAATCCTATATGAAACAAGTAGTGATGCATGCTACAACATAGATTAACCCTGCAAACATGATTTAAAGAAGTCAGCAGCAAAGGACCACATACTGTATGATACTATTTATGAAATATCCAGAAGAGGCAAATATAGATGGAAAGTAGATCAGTGGTTGCCTAAAACTGGGGGTGAATGGGTGGGAGTATTATGGCCAAGGCATGCAAGTTTCTCTTGAGGGATGATGGAAATTAATTGTGGTGATGGTTGTACAACTCTAAATATACTAAAATCCACTGAATTTGCACACTTGAGATGGATGTGTCAGAAGCATTTGAACAAGAGCAACTCCATCTTGAATAGGGGCTGCGTAAAATAAGGCTGAGACCTACCGGGCTGCGTTCCCAGGAGGTTAGGTATTCTAAGTCACAGGATAAGATAGGAGGTCAGCACAAAGTCGGGCAACAAAGGCTGTGCTGACAAAACAGATTAGGGTAAAGAAGCCAGCCAAATCACACCAAAACCAAGATGGCGATGAAAGTGACTTCTGGTGGTGCTCACTGCTCATTATAGTTAGCATGCTAAAAGACACTCCTGCCAGTGCCATGACAGCTTACAAATATCAGGGCAACATCAGGAAGTTACCCTCTATGGTATAAAAAGGGAAGGAACCCTCAGTTCTGCGAACTGCCCACCCCTTTCCCGGAAAACTCATGAATAATCCACCCCTTGCTTCATATAATCAAGAAGTAACATGTTGGTGTGATGTTCTGCCTATGGATTAGCCATTCTTTCATTCTTTTACTGTCTTAATAAACTTTCTTTCACTTTACTCTATGGATTTGCCCCAAATTCCTTCTCATGCAAGATCCAAGAACCCTCTCGGGGGTCTGGATCAGGACCCCTTTCTGTTACCAGATGAATTGTAGAGTATGAGACTTCTATCTCAATATTGCTGTTTAAAAAATATACAATGAAATACCACCACAAACAATAAGATGGCTAAAATTAAAAAGTAACAATATTAAGCACTGGAGAGAATGTGAAGGAACGGGAGCCCCTATACAATGCTGATGAGAATGTGAAACTATACAGTCTGGTATTTCTTAAAAAGTCAAACATATAGTTACCATATGACTGAGCCATTTCACACAAGAGAAAGAAACATATTTTTATCTGTAAAATTCACAAAGAGAGATTTGTAATGAGTATGCATAGGAGCATTATTAATAATAGTCTAAAACCATATGCTATCCTTCAGCTAGGAATGGATAAACAAAAAATGGAATTCAGCAATAAGGGCAAACTACTGCTATATCCAACAACATGAAGTCTCAAAAACACAATGCCAGACAGAAGAGTGTGATACCACCTGCACAAAATTTCTAGAAAACGCAAAACTGTGTTATTAGAAAAAGCAGTTTCATGGTTTCCTGAAGCTGGAAGCAGATTCTGGCTGCAAAAAAGCAAGGAGGGAACGTTTGCATGTTATAAAAGTATCCTAGTATCAGATTTCAGTGATAGTCTGCATGACTACATAAACTTACTAAAACTTAAACTGTCCCCATAAAACCCAACTCTTATAAAATATAAATTATACCTCAATAAAACAGTTTTAAAAACTCATTAAATTGAACACTTAAAATTACTGAATTTTGCTGGGCGCAGTGGCTCATGCCTGTAATCCCAGCACTTTGGGAGGCTGAGGCAGGTGGATCACCTGAGGTCAGGAATTTGGGACCAGCCTAGCCAACATGGTGAAATCCCATCTCTACTAATAATATAAATATTAACCAGGTGTGGTGGTGCATGCCTATAATCCAAGCTACTCGAGAGGCTGAGGCAGGAGATTTGCTTGAATCTGGGGGGCATAGCTTGTGGTGAGCCAAGATTGCACCACTGCACTCCAGCCTGGGTGACAAGAATGAAACTGTCTGAAAAAAAACAAAACGAAATAAAACAAACAAAAACCAAAAAACCCTGAATTTTAACTGAAGTTATACTCATTCTGCTGATTTTAAAAGAAAACAAAACCTCAAATTATACACTTAAAATGTCATCTTGTTGCATGTAAATTATATCTCAAAGAAACCAAGTTTTTAATTTTTGTATTTATTTATTTGAGATAGGGTCTTGCTCTGTGAGCTACACTGGAGTAGAGTGGCACAATCTTGACTCACTGCAACCTCTGCCTCCCCAGCCTCAAGTGATCCTCCCACTCGAGCCTCCTTGAGTAGGTGGGACTATAGTCAGGCATGACCCACCACCACTCCTGGCTAATTTTTGTATTTTTACTAGCAACAGGGTTTCACCATGTTGCCCAGGCTGGTCTTGAACTCCTGGGCTCAAGCGATCTGTCCACCTTGGCCTCCCAAAGTGCTGGGATTATAGGCATGAGCCACTGTGCCTGGCCAAGAAACCAAGTTTTTTAAACGATAATTATATATTCCAAAAATAAGTCATATACTGACATCACATAAAAGACCCTATTTACTCGATAACTGTTTAACTCCTTGTATAAATTTAAGTTTCCAACAATGAATGACTATCTTCACAGAAGAAACTTAGCAGTTTGAGACCAGCCTGGCCAACATGGTGAAACCCTGTCTCTACTAAAAATACAAAAATTAGCCAGGTGTGGTGGCAGACGCTTGCAATCCCAGCTACTTGGGAGGCTGAGGCATGAGAATTGCTTGAACCTGGGAGGCAAAGGTTGCAGTGAACTGGGATCACACCACTGCCTGTCAGCCTCGACAACAGAGTGAGACTCCTTCTCAAAAAAAATTGAGATATTTGGGTTACTCATGCAGTGGATTAGCGCTGAAATTATTATTCAGTAAAAAAGGCACAACTTAAACAAAAATAAAGTCCCCAAGATCTAACTGAAAAATGAGTTCTTAAATTACAGAAGTAAAAAGAACTAAATATACTTTTTTTAATTTTAAACATGTATTTGAAGTAAATTGAACTTGTTTAACTCAATGGGCACAATATAAAAAGTTTTTACACCAGGGATGGTGGCTTACACTTGTAATCCCAATACTTTGGGAAGCAGACAGGAGGATCACTGAGACCAGGAGTTTGAGACCAGCCTTAACAACATAGTGAAACCCTGTCTCTACAAAAAAAATAATTTTTTTTAACAGATTTTAAAAAAGTTTTAAAATCTTATGCCGCAGCCTCCAAAGCAGCCAGGATTTGGGATTTGTGCCACTGCACCCAGCTAATTTTTGTATTTTTAGTAGAGACGGGGTATTACCATGTAGGCCCGGCTGGTCTTGAACTTGGAACCGCAGGTGATACACCCATCTTGGCCTCCCAGCATGCTGGGATTACAGGTGGGAGCCACAGCTCCTGGCCTTTTTACTTTTCTTTTAAATAGAGATAGGGTCTCACTCTGTTGCCCAGGCTGGAGTGCAATGGCATAATCACACCTCACTGCAGCTTTAAACTCCTGGCTCATGCAATCCTCCCACCTCAGCCTCCTATGTAGCTGGGACTACAGGCACACATCACCATGCCCAGCTACTTTTTGTTCCTTTTAGGGATAAGATATGTTGCCCATATGTTGCTCAGTATGTTGCCCAGTCTGGTCTTGGCTCAAGAGTCCTCCCCACTTGGCCTCCCAAATCGCTGAGATTATAGGCATGAGTCACCATGCCCAGGCTCTGGGTTTACTGTTTAGTAGAACACCCTGACACATCCTATAATAAAGGGCGTTTCTAAAATTCTACAAAGTTCATGGTTTAGGTTTCTGATAGAAGTACCTTCATTTGTCACCCAGATAATTGCACTCCAAAGAAACCACTGCCTTTTTTATTTTTTTAAGTTTTTTTTGTTTGTTTGTTTTTGAGATGGAATCTTGCTCTGTCACCCAGGCTGGAGTGCAGTGGTGCAATCTTGGCTCACTGCAATCCCCAACTCCAGGTTCCAGCAATTCTCCTGCCTTAGCCTCCAGAGTAGCTGAAACTACAGGTGTGTGCCACCACACCCGGATAATTTTTGTATTTTTAGTAGAGATGGGGTTTTGCCATGTTGGCCAGGCTGGTCTCAAACTTCTGACCTCAGGTGATCCACCTGCTTCAGCCTCCCGAAGTGCTAGGATTATAGGGGTGAGCCACCATGGCCAGCACCACTGCTATTTTCATATAGCTTAAACTGTATTTACAATATACTATACCAGACAAAATTTGTAAGGAATGGAAGCAAAACCCCAATTTAAAAAATCTTCAAAGTAAAAACCCAGTAAGATTTCACATGGGAATAAAGAGTAACATATATTATAACTTAAAACCACATAAATCATCTGCCCTCATGGACAGAAA